AGCACTCCATTGCAAAATATTGGCCGAAACTTCAGAAATTCACTTTTCTAATATTGTTTTGTACAAATATCTCGTTGAAACTTACTTAAATATATCATCATTATTATTATTTATGTACAATAGAACATTAATGTGGTGTAATCAAGTGGAGTGAAAAAAAGATAGGGTTTTCTAACTGTAGGTTCGACGATTATAAAATAACAACAATGGGTTTGTTGCTCTGTTAACTCTGAATGAGTTCGTCTTAATTAAAGAAAAACACGAATAGGTTAAACAACGAATTTTCAAGAAATTAGAAGTTTTATAAATTACCGTATTATATACTCTTTAATATATATATATATATTTATATACATACATACGTATTATTGGAAATCATTATTAATACCATTGCACTTAGTGCCATCTGTTGGATATTATTCAGGACCGATAATTAATTAATTGTCTGGTTAGGAGGGTTCGTATTAGATAAATCAATTGTTGCTAATTAAACATAAATTTATTTTTAATTGTAAGTCAGTTATTAACATAACATTCTAAGCTATTATTATTTTATCTTTGTATTTATTGTTTGTTTCAAGCGCATAGCTACACAATGGAGTATCTGCGTTGTGCCCACCGCGGGTATTGAGCCCAGATTTATAACATTATAAGCCTTTTAACTCACCACCTGAGCCAATTGTGGGCATTTCGACTAGGAACATAAAAACAGTGTACCATGGAATTAATAATAATTAAACAGATAAACTTATCAATAAAGTATCTAATTTTGAGTTCCAGTTGTACTTATAATTAAAGTAAATGGGACTTCAATCCAGAATTAAATAACCAGTTACATCCTAAGTACATATAAGTTTGGAGACAACCAATGTTTCATCAGTCTGAACGCCATCACGTGACTAATATATATTTGTATCGTTATTCCTGGTAATCATTATCTTGTAAGAGGGGTTAAAAATCTGTTGAAAATATCACACGAAGGTGTGGAAATGGTAGCCATTGTAACAGGGATTAAAAATCTGTTGATAAAATCACACGAAGGTGTAAAAATGGTAGCCATTGTAACATGGATTAAAAATCTGTTGATAATATCACAGATATTAAACATAAATTTCTTTTTAATTATAAGTCAGTTATTAACATAGCATACTAAGCAATTATTATTTTATCTTCACACGAAGGTGTAAAAATGGTAGCCATTGTAACAGGGATTAAAAATTTGTTGAAAATATCACACGAAGGTGTGAAAATGGTGGCCATTGTAACAGGGATTAAAAATTTGTTGAAAATATCACACGAAGGTGTGAAAATGGTGGCTATTGTAACAGGGATTAAAAATTTGTTGAAAATATCACACGAAGGTGTAAAAATGGTAGCCATTGTAACAGGGATTAAAATTATGTTGATTTTTCACACCTTCGTGTGATATTTCAACATAATTTTAATCCCTGTTACAATGGCCACCATTAATATCACACGAAGGTGTGAAAATGGTAGCCATTGTAACAGGGATTAAAATTATGTTGATAATATCACACGAAGGTGTGAAAATGGTAGCCATTGTAACAGGGATAAAAATTTGTTGAAAATATCACACGAAGGTGTGAAAATGGTAGCCATTGTAACAGGGATTAAAATTATGTTGATAATATCACACGAAGGTGTGAAAATGGTAGCCATTGTAACAGGGATTAAAATTATGTTGATAATATCACACGAAGGTGTGAAAATGGTGGCCATTGTAACAGGGATTAAAATTATGTTGAAAATATCACACGAAGGTGTGAAAATGGTGGCCAAATAATTGAAGTTTCCTATGAACACAGATCTTAATAGCTCAGGCAGAACACAGTGTTCTGTAGTAACAGTGTGTAAAATAACACAAGTTTAACTTTTTGTGTAGTAGTAAGAGTGTGTAGTAACACAAGTTCAACTTTGTATGCTGTAGTAACCGAGTGTAGTAACACACGTTCCGCTTTGTGTGGTAGTAACACAAGTTCAACTTTGTATTCTGTAGTAACAGAGTGTAGTAAAACAAGCTCAAAGTTTATGCTGTAGTAATAGAGTGTAGTAACACAAGCTCAAACTTGTATGTTATAGTAATAGAGTGCAGTAACACAAGTTCAACATTGTGTGGTAGTAACAGAGTTCAGTAACGTAAGTTCAAATTTGTATGCTGTAGTATTAGATTGCAGTAACATGAGTTCAAACTTCGCTGTGGTAGTAACAGAGTGTAGTAACACAAGTTAAACTTTGTATGCTGTAGTAACAGAGCATAGTAACACAAGTTCAACTCTGTATGCTGTAGTAACAGAGTGTAATAACACCAGTTCAAACTTTGTATGCTGTAGTAACAGAGTGTAGTAACACAAGTTCAAACTTTCTATGCTGTAGTAACAGAGTGTAGTAACACAAGTTCAAACTTTGTATGCTGTAGTTATAGATTGTAGTAACACAACTTCAAACATGTAAGCTGTATTAATTGAGTGTAGTAACACAAGTTCAACTTTGTATGCTGTAGTAACAGAGCATAGTAACACAAGTTCAACTTTGTATGTTGTAGTTATAGATTGTAGTAACACAACTTCAAACATGTAAGCTGTATTAATAGAGTGTAGTAACACAAGTTCAACTTTGTATGCTGTAGTAACAGAATGTAGTAACACAAGCTCAACTCTGTGTACTATAGTAACACAGCACAATTTAGTGTGTGGTAGTAACAGAGTGTCGTTAGACAGTGTCTTAAATTAACAGAGGCACAGGTGTGTGGTAGTAACAGAAAGTACGGTATACGTGATATTAATACAGGCATGACTATGGTGTTGAAGCAAACATCGTACAGCTGGTGTGTTTCTGTGGTCAAGAAACAGAGCAGCTTGCAACTGTAACGTGAGTCTTCCACAACTTGTCAGGAATTATATTTGTATCGATGTGAAGTTACTCCAATAAGTTCCTTTGTTTTATTTAGTACAAACTTCAGATCATAGCAAGCTATATATTGACTTACTCATAAATCATAAAACGGGATCAGCAGGTATCTTCTGGTTCCTGGAGCGGGGCCTCCAACCACAGCGTCAACAAAAGAGTATCTTAGTTGTTGTTGTTTTATTAGTGCAAAGCTACACAATGGGCTATCTGCATTCTCTTCATGTGGAATCGGATCCCGGATTGTAGAGTTGTAAGTCCGTAAACTTACCGCTGGTCCACTGGAGGACAACTGTATTAGTGATTCATATTAACGTACACAACAATGGGTTACTTGCGCTATGTCCGTTGAAGGATCGAGCCTCGAATTCTAGCGTTATAAGCATTTGAGCTTACCGCTGAGCCACCGACGTACCCAATAGTTTCTATATCATACAAAATTTAGTCTATTGCGCAGGCGCAGAAAAGCCTGATTTTGCATCAAATGAAAGGAAGCTATCTTGTTCAACAATGCTCTTTTCGCCGTTCTAAATTAGAAATCAAATTCTTGAGGTTACTACCCGTCACGTGGGTCCGGAGTATTCTCAGTTACTAAAGTTCATCTGTAGAACCTTCGGACCAAGCTATATTTGTCCAACCTGCCTATAACCGTCCTTATCTTTGAACTGATTGACCTGAGCCCTGGTGGGCAAACTGTTCGGGGAGGTGGGTGGGGGATTATACTATAAAAGCATATAATGCATATCTAAAAGTACAAATTTAAAAAAAAAGCAAGTACTTTTACAGACAGATATTACTACTTGTTTGTTTGTAATTAAGCACAAAGCTACTCAATGGGCTATCTGTGCTCTGCCCACCACGGGTATCGAAACCCGGTTTCTAGCGTTGTAACTTCGCAGACATACCGCTGTGCCATTGAGGGGCGATATCACTACTATCATGTCATATAATAACAATAATTAGCACAGGTTTAAGTGCAACAATACGATTGGTCAGAAAAGTTGACGTCACGAAAAACGTTTGAGCACCAGTAACAGTAGCCAGTACCAACTTTATTAGGGAAGCTATGAACTGTTGAGCTTCAAATATGTTTTATGGAAAAGAACTTTAAATTCAAACTAAAACAAATTTCGTTCAAAAAACATATGATCAAAGTTGATTTACTGAAGCCCAAATATCTATATAGATATTGTTGTCAAAGTGTGGTTGATATACAGTTCTACACCCAAACATCTATATGAATATTGTTGTCAAGGTGTGGTTGATATACAGTTCTACACCCAAAAATCTATATAGATATTGTTGTCAAAGTGTGGTTGATATACAGTTCTACACCCAAAAATCTATATAGATATTGTTGTCAAAATGTGGTTGATATACAGTTCTACACCCAATCATCTATATAGATATTGTTGTCAAGGTGTGGTTGATATACAGTTCTACACCCAAAAATCTATATAGATATTGTTGACAAAGTGTGGTTGATATACAGTTCTACACTCAAACATCTATATGGATATTGTTGTCAAAGTGTGGTTGATATACAGTTCTACACTCAAACATCTATATAGATATTGTTGTCAAGGTGTGGTTGATATACAGTTCTACACCCAAACATCTATATAGATATTGTTGTCAAAGTGTGGTTGATATACAGTTCTACACCCAAACATCTATATAGATATTGTTGTCAAGGTGTGGTTGATATACAGTTCTACACCCAAACATCTATATAGATATTGTTGTCAAGGTGTGGTTGATATACAGTTGTACACTCAAACATCTATATAGATATTGTTGTCAAAGTGTGGTTGATATACAGTTCTACACCCAAACATCTATATAGATATTGTTGTCAAAGTGTGGTTGATATACAGTTGATATAAAACTCAAGACCGAGTGAAGAAAGCAGTGTTAAGAAATACAATAGAACTAATACTACGGTCTTATATCAAATATATAAATGATTATCATCACACATCGCCAGCAAATAGCGTTCACGCCATAACAAATGTAAATATTATTCAGGAATCCGTTGCTCTTTATTTATACACGTGTGCACACACGGGAGGAAGTTACAAGTGTTGTACAATGTTCGCCAGATGTTTCTTTGGTAATTTGTTCTGTAGAAAGTCCAAGTTCTTCGTATTTATCCATATCTTTCGTACTGGGTTCGTATTCCAGGCCTAGCGGGTAGTTGTTACCAAGGTCATAACCCTTTTAAAAATATTCAGCTCGTGCCAGCCGGCTTAATTATCAGTATGTCACTCAAGGTGGATGTTCACACTCATATTCTTCCGGAAAAATGGCCTTCCTTGAAAGAGGTGAGACAGTTATAAAGTTCATCAGTAGGTGGTGTTTAACGTACAAGTTTCTTGTTTTATTTAAGAATTTAATTTAGATTTAGTCGTCGTATTTTAAAGAATTCTATTTTTCTATACTTCGAAATAATTTTTTTTTTTGGAAAAATGCCAGATTTATAGCCATTCAAGTTTGCTTCGTGAAATGTGAACCAATAACGAGGAAGCTTATGTACGTGTAAAGCTGAATCCTTCGTACAGTTTTCTTTTTGAAACGATAGCTGCTAACTCTAATTAGATGCATGGTTCAAAAATACGACTAAATACAGCCAAAGTAAATTAATAAATATTTTTGAATGTGGATGTTTTTGTTTGAGAGCAAAGCCACATTGGAATATCTGCCGTATCCACACCAGAGAATCGAACCCCGGATTTTTGATACTTAAGTTCATAAACTTACCGCTGGACAATATTTTTTTATGAAACCGAAATATTAAATGATCATCGTTAACAGAGTTCGATACCCCTCACTGAATACAGCAGATAGCCCAAGATGTCTTTGCTTTAAAATATACAAGTATTGTTTGTTTGTTTGAAGTTAAGCACAAAGCTACACAATGGGCTATCTGTGCTCTGCCCACCACGCGTATCGAAACCTGGTTTCTAGCGGGGGGGGCAGTATACGAGTAACAAAAAATATACACAAATTTAATATTGTGTTTTTAACAACAACTTGCCATTTTTCTGTATTATACTTGTTTGTTTAGAAATTAGCTAAATTTCCGGGCCAAGCGTTATTCATCGGTTAGTGTATCGGACTGTGGATCCTTTGTTCGTGTCCCGTTACCCCAATAAGAATAATCACACTCAGTACTTTAGGGCTGTTATACACTGTAAAACAAGACTTACTAAAAACACCCTAAGTTTGTTATAAAGTTATTTATACACTGTAAAACAAGACTTACTAAAAACACCCTAAGTTTGTTATAAAGTTATTTATACACTGTAAAACAAGACTTACTAAAAACACCCTAAGTTTGTTATAAAGTTATTTATATATATTTTTTTTTACATTCATAGAGATATGGTTATGGTGGATGGGTAAATATGGTTCCTTGTGGAAAAGAAAAAGCCCGGATGATGAAAGATGACGGCACACTGTTTCGTGTTGTGGCAAGAAACACGTGGGACTCTGTGGTTCGACTGCAAGATATGGACAGAACAGGTAATAGTACGTTAGAGTTTGAACTGTAAGATTTATAAATACATTCAGTCTTTACAGTTACAAGTACATACAGTACAGTCACGTGCTATAATCAAGGCTTCTATAACACAGTTATTTTCTAATAGATCAGATTTCCTTTCAAAAGCTCTTAAACAGATCATTATGTGATTATAAGTAGCTCCACTAAAGTTGTAATGATAATGTGTGTGTGTGTGTATTTTCTTGTAGCAAAGTCACATTGGGCTATCTAGTCCACCGAGGGGGGAATCGAACCCTTGATTTTAGAGTTGTAAATCCGTAGGCAGCGGGGAACTGTAATGAGAAAGTTACTGTGTGTGTTGTTTGATGATGGCTCAACCCAGCCAGCCTTACGTTACAGTTTTTATTTAGGGCGCCGCCAGTTCATTGATAATGCAGGACAGATATTACCTAAACATTCATTATCACGGTTAGAGAAGGTTTACTTTGATATCTCCTAAACATTCATTATCATGACTAGTAAAAGGTTTACTTTGATGTCTCCTAAACATTCATTATCACGACTAGAGAAGGTTTACTTTGATGTCTCCTAAACATTCATTATCACGACTAGAGAAGGTTTACTTTGATATCTCCTAAAGATTCATTATCACGACTAGAGAAGGTTTACTTTGAATGAGCGTTGGCTTTTGTTCAATTTAAAACTTATTATGTTAACGATCACCGGTAAGTTTACGAACTTACAACGCTACAATCCGGGGTTCGATTCCCCGCTGTGGACACAACAAAGATGCCAATGTGGCAAAACTCTAAAAGAAACAAACAAAAAAAAAACGATCAACTTGGACGTGTATATCCTGTAAAAAGATCTGTTCTACATGATACTGTTTAAAAAACAAGATTTAACAAAACATACTAACTGTGTTATGAGGTTATTTATATAGTCTCAAACAAGACTTACTAAAGCATTTTAGGGTTGTTTATACTGTAAAACAAGACTTACTAAAGCATTTTCGAGTTGTTTATACTGTAAAACAAGACTTACTAAAGCATTTTAAAGTTGTTTATACTGTAAAACAAGCCTTACTAAAGCATTTTAAAGTTGTTTATACTGTAAAACAAGACTTACTAAAGCATTTTAAGGTTGTTTATACTGTAAAACAAGACTTACTAAAGCATTTTCGAGTTGTTTATACTGTAAAACAAGACTTACTAAAGCATTTTCGAGTTGTTTATACTGTAAAACAAGACTTACTAAAGCATTTTAAAGTTGTTTATACTGTAAAACAAGCCTTACTAAAGCATTTTAAAGTTGTTTATACTGTAAAACAAGACTTACTAAAGCATTTTAAGGTTGTTTATACTGTAAAACAAGACTTACTAAAGCATTTTAATTACGTGTGTTATAAAGCTGCAACATGTCGGACAGAAGCTTGGTGTGTTTATAAATGACCTTGAAAGTTGTCATGAGTTAGTTTCAACCATATCATACGTTAGTCGTGGCACTGTTCAGGGACATCTCTTCCTGGTTATTATTCGTTGGACTTT